AATATTAAACTTGAAAATTTACTTGTCCAACCCTGAGGAGCAATAACATTGTGAAAGCTTTAGTCAGTCATAGAGAAGTATTGTGAACTTTTTATTAATAATATCACTGTAGCTAGTTCAGTTCAGCACTCTTATTGTGAAATTTCTGCTCACCCAAACATTAAATCAGTGTTTCTCAACCTTTTCTTCCTTATGGCCTATTTTTGGTATCAAAAAAATTTCAGGCTCACATAAGCATAGATAGAAATTCTATGTAACAGGAAATACATTTTATTTACAAAAGCAAACTGTAGTAGAAAATATAAATCCTGATTAATGACTACACCGCTCCTGGTGTCTCCAGGCTTATTTAAAATATTTTTCTGGCCCACTTTTAAGCCTAAGAGCCCACATTGAGAATCACTACATTAAATTTACATAATTTTGAATTTTATGTATATCAGTAGGTATCTGTCAATATTTCTGAGATGAGGTATTGTAATTATTCACACTATTTACTATGACTGTTGTTTCATCTTTGTTACCATATCCACATTTCGGTCATTGTATGCTCTGGCCTTCTTCAGGTGATTGGAATTTTGAACTGGGACTTATAAACCTAATGTCTTAGCAATCATTTTTTACCAAAGAGCTCGAGCTACTACTGGACCATGTGAACTAAATAAGATCATTGATACAGTTCACAATTGAGAGAGAAAACAACAACAAACTCACATTCCTGGATGTACTAATATCTTCAACAGAGCATGGGTTCAGGACATTTGTATACTGCAAGCCAACATTCACCAAACAATACCTCAACTTAAACTCCCACCATCCATACAGTGTAAAAAAAATGGATCATCCACTGCCTACAACATCGAGTAAAAGTCATAAGTGGCAATCCAGAGACATGAATAAGAAACGGTCAGTATAAGCAGTACCCTACAATGTAACAACTACCCTGCATACATGACAGCAGCTCTGACAAACTGGGATAGAAGGGTGCAAGGGGATAACAACACTCAGAAAACAGCTTTGGTTCTATATGAATGGATTTACAAAAGATCTGTGGTCCATATAACATTAGGATGACCTTCAAAAGTGGTTTAATATTTCGCTGACACCTCTTCTAAGTAAGACCCTTCCTCCCATAGAGGAGAATATGACTAAGAACTGTGTATGACATCCTATGCACTTGTGGTAATAAATATAAAGGATAAACAGGCTGATAAGAGTGCAGGAACACCATAAAGCCATAACATGAGGGGAAATAGAAAAATCAGGTGTAGCTGACCACATATGGAGGGAAAAGGGAAATCACCTCCACCCGTGGGATGAGGTTAAAATAATAGAGAATATCAATGGAAAATACAAAAACTTAAGGAATCAGTGCATATACTAAGCCACAAAAAATCTCCTAAGCCAGCCAAGCATAGAAATGAATACAATATGGGAACCAGTAATAATAATGAAATTGTAATATGAGCTCTGGTAAAAAAAAATCAAAATGTTACTGAGACCTTAAGTTTATAAGACCCAAAAATTCATACATTCCTCAAAGACACGTGGTCCAGTGGATATAAAGTGTTGGTTTAATCCAGTGACTTTGTCCAAATAATTGTGCTCAATACCTGACTACAGCAGAGGTGAACAAAAACTTGCTAGAGTTGAGTTAAAGGGAGATAACTGATGCCAAGACATCTGGAAAAGGCACAGCTCGAGGAAGTAGAATAATCTACCCCAGTGGATGAAATAAAGGGTTCAGTTCAAAATTCTAATCACCTGAAGAAGGCCAGCATACAATAGCTGAAATGTGAATATGGCAATGAAGATGAGGACAAATCACTATTTTATATATATATATATATATGAAAGGTATATATTAAGGCAACAGGAATTCATCTAAACAAGTTTTTTTTCTATTGACTATTCAGTTTTCTGATGTGTTGAATATTAGGATCGATATTGTGAATAAACGGTCTGAAGTTAATGTTTGTGCTGTTGTCTTGTTCAAGTACTTTTGAGCATCTGTTATTTTCAAGAACCAATGTGATATCTGTGTGATATACAAGATTCCATTGCCTAATATTGGTTTTCTTTGAAACTTTTGAAATAGTACAATGACATCATGTAAAATTGTTAATGGGAGTGAGGCAATACTAAAAGCAGTATGTCTTATATATAATGCAGACACCTATACTAATATATACTGTAATTCCCCATGTATAATATACCTTTATCCATAATATGCACCCCTAAAATTGGGTTGAAAGTGTGGGAAAATGCTTCTACTTATGCATAATAGGCACCCCTTGTTTGGTAATCAAACCCTATAAATTGTACCTCTCCAATTTCATTACAGCCAGCATTTTCTACTCTTATTCAAGCTGTAATTGAAGATATTTATCAAATTCTGATCACGATTCTAAATGGAAATACCTACATTGAGTTAGATATACATAACTCAAGTTATACTTAAAACATAGACAGAATAAGAGTTGGTTTGAGAAATATTTAACAAAGAATAAAATGAATAAAGGAACAAAGAAATCAATGAAATTTATTGGTCTTGATCTGATTTCTGTGCAACTGAGGTTCTTTTCTGTGAACATGTAGCACCAATTTGGAGAGGCTTTGAAAGTTTCCTCAGGGTATTTTTTTGTCTTTTTCAGGGCCAACAACCTTGTCTATAGTGCTAATGGCAACTCCAGAAGCCTGTCTTTCTACAATTTCCTCCACCAATTCTTTTTCCATTTGAGGACACTTGGCCTCTTTTTCTCTACCAGGGGCTCTTGAAGGTTTTGCTGCCACAATTTTTTCTCCATAATCTTATATTTACTTTATTTATATCATACTTTCTTTCAGCTGCATTATTTTCCACAATAACTTTTCTCTTGAATTCACTGGGGTAACTTGTTCTTAAATTCATTTTTAACCAGGGGTGTTAGAAAATAAGAATAGGTAAGAATAAGGTCTATTCTTCTAAAATGAATGTTGCAAACAGATCATTTAGCTTATACACACACATTTTACCGATGTTTCCACCAAAATAAATTTTCTTTTTCCAGTAGTCTTGATGAATCAGAGTGTATCATGCAGAAGCAACATGGTGGCACCCATAGTTCGTCACATAGTCTAAGCTTTTCACAAAAAATGTTTTTAAACATAGAAAAATAATATTCTAATTTAGTTTTATAATAATTCTTATTTTATTTTTACATTTGTAAGTATTGTTAGGTACATAGGATTGTATTTGACATCCTTATGGGGGTCGCAATCACCGAGCATTAGTGTCAAATTGTTTGTAGTTAGTCATTTCACAACTGAAATTGACCTCTAAAACAGCAATTATTTTTTGGGGTAGCTGTGCATAATACGTACATTTTTTATTTTTTTTTAGAAAGTAATGCGTATTATGCACAAGGAATCATGGTATTTGTTCCTCACTATTTGGTGTAGTTGATAATATTTCTCTTATGTTGATCGACCAGCACATCATGAACAATGTGCACAATTTTGACAGGTGATAAGCCAACCTACAAGTGTGCCCAATGTAATAATTTAATGATTTTTTTTTTTTTTAGCCTCTCAGTGAACATGAGATTTCATCAACATTTTTACATAGATTTTTGATGTCCCAGGTTGTTGGTAATAATTAGATTAGATGAACGTTTTACAGATGTATGGTGTTCTTTACTAAAGGCCATGTCAGTTTGTCTAACAATGTGAAATTTATTTAAAAATAGTATTATTTGTTACATGAAATTAATTTAATATTTTTCTCTATATTTCTTCATAAATACATAGATATATTTTTTATCAGTAATTTTTCTTTGTAGAAGGTATTTAAAAACATGTCGCATTTTTGTAAACCAAAGTTTTTTTCTATTATAATCCTAGAAAATTATATTCATGACAATAAATCAGCATAACAATAGTTAATTTATTTAATAAAAGTTACTTTCATGTTCATTTTGTTTTATTTCATTTTTGTTCAAGAATTCAGTTCTGTTTTTTTTTTGTTTCATTAAAACTGTTCTAATGTAGATAAGATTAAAAAGCATATAACATTTTGTACACTCTTGTTAACAGGATGGCAAGTGATCTAAACCATCACTGATTTATATATTAATTGTAATAAAACATTACTAAAGAAAAAACATACCAAAATGAGAATTAACTTTTTGTACCAATTTAATTATGCTCTTAACCTTTACTTTTTTTTTTTTAAAATTGAATTTCTTAAGTAGACTACAGCAGTGAACTACCACAAAGCCAACCTGAAGCTAAAAACTTTTGCTCCTAGTGGAATGTAGTAGGCCTCCAGTTTTGGTAAGAGATGCACTGCAAGTTCGGCTTTAGTAAAGAATGCCATGAATAGATATTTCTTAGAATCATTAATATGTATCAGAAAATTCTGTTTTTAACTGCTGTGTCACCCTGCTTATAATAAAGGGGGTATCTGTTTTGTTTTTTTTTTATATATATTCAAATATGTCATCACTCTGGCCAATCAAAACTCAACAAAGAGAAGTCTTTATTCTTAAACCATCTCAATTTTCCAGCACCAAGTTAAAACTGGGACCCTTTCAAACATAAGATCCTAACTGAATATTATTATATTTTTTTTTTATGAGCACTTAAGTTATGCCTTTCTTCTGTAAGTGGTGATATCCTGTGTAGAGTAGTTACCTGCCCTTGATTCAGCTATAATTTATGCACATGCCTATCAAAAAGTAAGAAATGTCATGTGACAATCTGGCTAGAGACATGAAATTTAAACCTGTTAAGGAAATTTGTAAGCAGATGAAGATGTTTATAGAAAACAAGACTAACTAGAATGTAGACAATACATTTATTTTGAGTAAAATATACATCCAAATACTTTAAGAATGGAAATAAAAGGACACCTGGCACAAAATAGATGAACATCCCATTGTGACAATTCAGCAGCAGTATTCCAAGTTGGACATCAAGAGTGACAGTAAGGTTGGATGTGCTTGTGCACAGGTTTCTGTCTATTGACCCATTAAGTGAGTAGAGAAGGAGATGTGTCTCATCCTGTTCAAGGGAGATGATCTGAGAAGGAAATTAAAGAACCATCTATTTTTAAAAGTAAAATTATAGTTAAAAAAGTGAATATTCCTTGCCTGCCAAATTACTCCACATCCCAACAATTCAATAAACAAAAATAAATTTTGGCCAACTTAAGCACAAATAGAAACTGTCCATTTCTATTTCAGAAGTTGTTGATTAGATATTTGAGTGGTGCTAAATTTTTCTTGGCCTGACACACACACACAAAAAAAAAAAAAAAAAAAAAAAAAAAGGGAGAAATTTAAGGTTTGGTTCTTTAGTCAATCTCTTTTTTAAAGTGGGCTTAAACTTTTCAGTACTTACTCATGCCAAAATACTATTTTGCTGTATAATGTGTGTGTATATATGTGTTTTTATTCTAATTTTTATGTACTAGAATTATCACCCTTGTGCTAGTGATGTCAGATGACTGCCTTTTCTCTGACAATGACAAACTGTTCAAACATGTTTACAAAAGTGGGAGGAGGTGAAAAGACCAACTGTGAAAGAGCAGAGTAAAACAATACTTGGAAAAATATATTTAATGACTCATACAAAAACCTAATCATAAACTATCAATTTTAGATATACTGTCTTTGTTTTAATATGACATAAGTAATAATCATGATAATATTAAAATATTAAATGTGATTCTTTACAAATACTAACAATTTTTCTGGCTGCAATGTTACAAAATAGATTTGAGGATTGTTTTTGTTACTGAGAAAATGCAGCTTGCTTAATTTTAATTCAATGGCATGGGTTATCAAAGAAATAAAGATATTAAATGAAGACTGATGCAATCAAAGCATTTGAATGATACAATACCCATAGACAGAAGGGGGCCATGTCTTTCCTGGGAAGAGATGATCTGATAGCCAAACTTATCACAGTGTCATGGCAGTAATAAAAGGCAAATCTTTAGTTTTAAGCCAAGTTCTTATAAACACATTTATCACCACGTGCTTACATAGAAAACTTGGATGTTTAAAAAGGACAAATTAATGGACAAAACACTTGAAGTTTTATTCCACATTTGTTAATTTGAGAAATTCAGATTGACTTAATCAGAACAGGTTGTTGAAAGTGCCCATATAAAACATCATTTATATGTAGAAAAAGTGTTTTAGTAAAATCAATTTTTTTCACTGGAATAGTCAGGAATCTTAAATATTTCATATGCTAAAATGTTTGTATGGCATGTGTGTGGGAGGGGGGGGGCTCATTTGTTTATTCAGGAGTTACACACTTTAATATTTATAAAAAGTAAGATAAAGCAAGATAAAACATAGTTAAGCTAACAGCAATGTAGAGATAACTATTCTAAATTTTTCTTGCCACACCCACCAAACCAGGTACAGAAATCCAATACTGCAAGTTGTCCTGAGCAACCCTGGGAGTAATAAAATTAAAGAAAAAAAAAATGATTGAATGCCAAATAGGTGAATATTATCAATCAATCAAAAAAAAAAAAAAAAAAAAAAAAAAAGACTAAACTTGTATGCAAAATGGTTAGGCAAGTTTGTCTTGCATTTGTAAAATTTGTGATATATAAATTCTTAACCCTTTGCCTGACAGATCATTTAATATTACAATGAAAAGACATATTTTCAATACTCCCGAGAGGGCCAGGGGGGTGGGGAAAAAAAAACAAAACAAAACAAAAAAAAAAATTTTAGCTCTTGAAATCACAGCATTAAAATTTACAAGAAAACTGAGAATTATGGATGGATATATATAATTTTTGAATTGGCAAAGGGCAAACCTGATTAAATCTAATTCAGACTTAGTTATATGGCTTTGCCAGGAAAAAAACATCCAAGGAGAAGAATATTGTCAATGATCAGTCAAATATGGCATGATGAGACAACAGAAAAAAATTAAAGTAATAATAAAACTCCTGGAAAAATAACTGAGCAACAGTATCTATTTTGTATTAGTTATCAAGGGAGGGTGATATTTCAGCTGAAAGACAATTAACCATTTCTCAAAAGAAATATCCAACAGATCTTTTGAATATAAATTGGTGACCTGAGACAATCTCATGTTTGTCAAAAAATAAAGGTTCTTTATTTTGCAATGAAGACATAAGCAAAAATCTAGAGTCAGAAGCCTTTTCACAACCAATGACTACTAAATTAACATATTTATAAAAACTACAAACTTAAGTCAAATACTCAAGTGCTTCAGTTTTTATTTTAGGAAAAAAAAAATGTAATAATTCTGAACAATATAGTAATCATCCCTATCCCATAATAGTTGCTTCATTTGAATACACATTTCAAACAATAAAACTATTATAGGACACAGGGAGTAATTTAAGATTCAGTCAAACTTACCTAAAGACACTTAGTTTACTGACCATCTCTCCAATGTTGTGAGCAAGTTTTACTAAATAACCCACCACTGAGGCCATGTGCAGAAAGTGTAAATAATTGCCCAATATTTCCCGAGTGATAAAAAACTGAAATTTTTTAAGGAAAAATTACTACCAATCAGCTTCAAATTAAACTCAGACTATTGATAAAAGTATAAAAACAAAAACCAAGATAAAGTAACTATGGAGTCTTAATTTGAAGCAACCAACTTCCCCTCTATTTGCTCTCTTCTGTGGTAAATGAAATGCAGAACAAATTTTGCTGAAGGGAGAGCTTAATAACTATGGATTCAATGGCAGGAGATAGAAAAATCTTGCAGTTGAAATTTGAAAAAGTGGGATATTGCACAGAGAGGTGGATTCATAGCTTTCTCAAGGTTTGAGTATTCAGGGAATGTAAGCAGATTTTACTTTCTACACTAATAACCACTGCAATACCTTGCATTTAGACACAAGAAAACTGATACAATTATCAGTTTGGAAAAAGTGAAAACATCACAGGAAGGGGAATAATGATAATAAAGATTCCATAACTAATTTCCAATGCAGTTCATGTAGCATGCAAACAGGTAGCAAGTGAATAACATTTTAACCACTTTTACCTACAATAGATTAAGCTAAAAGAAAACTGCTTGGTGAAGTCCAGAATATGAGTAAATAACTTAAATTTCTTGAAATTGGAAGGAAGGTACAATCTCTTTTTATAGAATCTGAGGTGGTGTTTTGGACACCCCAACCACAAATGGTCTTAATGTTGAATGCAATAATAAAACACACTTTAAATGTTAAAAAATGATATAGATAATTATTTATACAAATAGCATAAAAATATTCCAAATAGTTCAACATTATTCTCCTTAGATTTCACAGCATATAAAAAATAAAGCCAATCACATAACAGAGGAAAGAGGCACTCAAGAAAAAAAATTATACTGGTGATAGAATAATATAATATTTTGAAAGCATGTAGTTGGTTTGTTATGCTTGCATGTATGTGTTGTAACTGGTCAGAGTAAGAACTTAAGTTCTTAGGAATGATCAATTGGATATTTGTGCAATTCTTGAAACCTTAAAATAACAAAAAGAATTCTTTTTATAAAAAAAAAATAAATGTACAAAATTTTTGCAATACAAAAATGGCCAAAACTAGGAAAAATGCTGAATGAGACAGATTTTCAATATCAAATAATTTTGTGGTTTGAAACATTGAAGTTATAAAATAGCAATAACTGAAAAACCTACTTTTTTTTGTAAGCAAAAAAAAAAAAAATAAATAAAAAATGATGGAATTATGTAAAAGCAAAAACAGTTATGTCAAACTGTATGTGAAAGAATAATTATGAAATTCTGCATGGAAGGAAATGTGTACACATTTATTTTTGGTGATGAAATTATTTTTATGAAAGAAAAAATACATAAATACTAGTAAAATAAAATTCTGGGAAACAAAGAAATCCTACAGCTTAATAAATTTGTCAGCATTTTTTTTTAAATGCAAAAATGTTGGTTTAAATATTTTAAGATTAATGAAATAATTTTTAAATTAAGTTCTATTTAGTTTATATAGTTATCCTTAAATTATTATGTAATCTAATATTTTGATTAGAAATTGTCAAATAAGGTAAGAGTTCAAAAGATTTATAGATTTGTTCTTTTTACATTCTAAAAGTGTGTGTGTTTTACCAATAAACAAACAATTATTTGGGTTTCTTTTTCAAATAAATTTTATATTATAAAGATATAAATTATATATAATTTATAAACTGTAAGCAATTTGATAATTTTTAAATAAAAAAAAAATCATTACCAGGTAAAGAGTTCACTTAATTATGATTCTGGAGGTGCAGGATGCCCATTTTCATGCTTCTATTTTCCATAATATATTTCTTTGACAATTTCAATAGGCCTATTTAATATTCATAACAATTCAAAATATTTCACAACTTTAAATAGAACATTAAAAAATATTTAGGTTGCTTATGAGAAATAAGCATAATTTTGAAATCAGTATAAGATATCCCTAGTAAGGATTATTCATGCTTTAGTAAAACCCTATCCAATAATTAAGGTTGAAAAGTGCCTTTTATTTAGCTCTTTCAGTCCTTCGACTTTGTTGAAGATAAAACATGTCATTTCCATTATATTGTTAATCTACAAGAATTAAAAACTATTAATGCATTTTTTTCTGTTTTTTATTATAACTTGACAGACTTGGCAACCCTACCAATATTGGTATATTATAGATATAGTTTGTTGAATTGTTATAAATCATGAAAAGCTCTGAATAAATTCAAGAACAAAAAAAAGAGAACCATGAAGCAAAATAGATCTGCTTTGCAAAAGGTTTTAAATCATTAAAATTCAGTTTAATTTTTTTTTAATAAAATCTATTTATATCAATGAACTACTAAAATTAGTAAGTTTGCAACAGTTAAATTTTTTTCAAAATTGAAAAGAAAAAATAGTGAGTAAATGTAAAAACAGGAAAGGATGACAACATGTAAGCAATCAAAATACAAAATTTAAGGTATTTAATTTCTTGTTTGTTTTGAGAAAATTAAATAAGCTGCTTCCCAGATCACCACCAAAATGTGACCTTCATGTCATAAGAAAAGGAACATCATAT